GGGGGGGGTGGGAGGGGTTCATCGTGGGTGGCAGGCTCTTGCTGTAGGAAGCTCCCCACCTCAGTCCCAGGACCCCCTGGCCTCCTGCTTACCCGTCCTTCTGAGGGTATGACTCTGAGGTAGATTTCACAGAGGGAATGTGGGTCACTGGGGTGTGGGAAGGGGGTTAGCTCTTTTGAATTTGATCTCCACAGCACCCTGGGCCCATCCTCAGGTTCTGGCCTGGGAGGCAGGGCTAATGACATCCACCCAGCTAACAGAGCCTTAGTCACACATGGGCTCCAGGGTGCTGTGGTGTCAGGGGCTCAAATGGGGTAAGAGGGGAGGGGAGCAACTGTCATAACAATCTGTGCCTTGGTGCTGGGGGATCCATGGGAAGGGCATGGGCCTAGAAGGCTGGCACAGATAGTCCCCTGGCCTGAGGGTCATGGTGCAGGGATCCCTGGCCCATAGGGCAGCCTCTTTAGGCTGGATCCTTCCAGTCCTTAAGGGACCTCCCCCTCCTCTCCCACCCTCCCTGTTCCCCAGGGTGGGCAGAGGGGGAGGACAGGACTGGCCTGCAGAGAGTGGCAAGAATCAAGATGTCTCCTTCCCCCAATGGGGGCCCAGGCCATAAGCCTTGAGCTGGCCATGGGATGGAGGAACTGGCATCAGTGTGCAGGGCAGGCTCTGGAACCTCACAGGGAGGTGTTCCTTGGGCAGAGCACAGCCTGAGGAAGATGGATGTCTGGAGAGTGGCTGGGGGAGCTCCTGGAGTCCTCTGATACCCTCCCTCTCCCCCAGGCCCAAGCACTAGACACCTCCTTGGATCCAACTGTGTTTGTGAACAGAAAGGCAGAGGGAGAGGCTGGGTAGGGTACTCCCCTCCCTGTCCCAGCCCAGATTCCCACCTCCCATTGGAAGCCAGGGAGCTGGGGAGAGCCTCAACTGACCTCCTGGGAAGAGCCAGGGCTGAGTGGTGCCTGGACGAGGGAAGATGGCACACACGTTGACTCGGTAGCTAGTGGAGGTATCTGGGGGTCGCAAGGGGCAGGGGCCCCCCACGAAATTCATGCAGCATTCAAAGTGAGTGAGTGTTTGGGGGTGATGGGAGAGGGCAGAGAAACAGCCAGTAGGTGGGGGAGGCACCCTAGATCTTGCTGTTCTCCAGGTGAGAGTCAATGTGTTTGATGAGGGCGTCATCTGGATACCCGACAGGGAAACCCCGATGGCAGAGGGGGCAGCTGCGGATGTCAGAGCCCACTGTCTCCATCAGCAGCTGTGGGGAGAAAGGGACGTCATTTACAGCCCCCAACCCTCCCACATGGTCCCCGTATTCCAGCCTGCACTTTCCCTGGGACCCAGGGCATGGAGGACTGCAGCATGCGGAAGGGATCTGGCACCCTTTGTCCAGTGCCAACCCTTTCCTCCCTGTCTCTGCCCGCCCCCCACAAGTTCAGCATCCACTCCCCAACCCAGGGCATAGGGCCCACAGGAGGAGTGTATAAGGAGGTATGTATGCTCAGCCTGCCAGGACATCTGCCCTAATGAGGAAAGCCAAGACCCAGACATGCCCGCAGAGTGACTAAGACACCGCTGCCAGATAACTCAAAGCAGTGGATAATCCCAAACAATGTATAACCCAAAAATACTTTCTGTCTGGCTTTGGAATATATTTTGGTCTTCCTAGGTGACAAGAGTTGAATCTGACATTCAGGAAACTCATTATTTCAGTGAAATGATAGAGCCCTAAGATAGGGTTGTCTTCTAAGACAGACAGAAAAGAAAAGGGGCTCTGAGGCCTGATGGAGGGAATTGGATGAGCAGGCCTGTCCCTGTGTCACCCAAGACCCTCAGGGCCAGCATGGCCTCCATCACCAGCCTAAGAGCAGATGCTCACTACTGAGTACCACTGTGGTGGAGGGTTTGTAGGCTTACGGCCTCCCTCTCAAGAACCCTAGGATGGAACTAGATAATGCAATCATTGCCCTTACTATGCAGATGAGAAAACTCAGGATCTGAGAGGATAAGTAACTTGTCCAAATCCCCACAGCGACTAAGTGGTGGAGTCTAGAATCAGAGCCAGGATTGTCCTTCTGAAGACCATGCCCTTAACCAGAGTCCTGAGCAGGTTTTAGTGCTGCGTAAGGACTGTGCCACCCAGGCCCTCGGGCAACAACGGGGAGACGGCCCAGGAAGCGAGCGCAGCCCGAGGCCGGCGGTGCGGCGGAGGCCGGGGCTGTCGGGTCTCCACC